TGCATGACGACCCCCCTGTACGACCTCGTCATCGGAAACGCCCACGGGGCGTGAGGGCCGAATGATCCAGAATGTTTGAGGGAAGACCCGAAGATGGAGTCCCCACCGACACAGGGACTGCAGATACAGTGGAGAACAATCCCGCGAAGGATTTCACTCGAGCCCAAGGTGAAGCCTGGGTGCAAGGGACAGTGAATGAGAACATCATCGTATCGAATGAGTTCACGTGCTGGGCAGCTGGGCTTACTTCGGCTCGACCTCAACTGACCGACCATGTAAAGATGATGGAGTCGGCCAGCCAGGCCAATGTCGGGACATGAACAAGCGGGTGAATAACCGGACAGGATCGGTTGAGCGTCATGACCCGCTAGCAGTGTCGGAAGTGACAACGACGGCTAAGACGCCACCTCAGATACCATCGTTGGGAGGGGCTCGCCGGAACAAAACGAGCAAAAACAATAAGAAGAGATCGAGAGAGCACCGCAAAAAAGGGCGCAAGCGCCACGCGAAATGCACCGGATAGGTGTCGAAGTCGATCTGGAATGCGTTTGACAGTGCTATATGTTAAGGTAATGTGATTGTTTTCCTGTGCCACAACTGCATGTCGAGATAGTCAAAATGTTTGTTATGGTGATGTGATGTATAGTAATGATGTGAGTATAGTAATTGTTGTAATTAGAGAACTTTGTGCATTGGTATTGTCTGGAATATGTGATGGAGTGTTGTACTCATGCACCTGTGGTTATATTTCATGTGTTGTGAGATTAAATTGCAATGTACATTTGTATTGAGTGATCTACTGTGAATGTGACGTGCCATGAGCAACGAACTATGTTACAGTCCTTAAGTGTGTGGTGACTGTTCGCGCTCGTTTGTGTGGTTTTGAATATCATGAGATAATATTCTTAAAGTGGGGGGCAGTGTCACAAAACGAGCGCTCAGAAATGGCGCGCCGCCAAATTCTCGCGACGAAGCGCCAGAGTGACGCCGCGAGGTCAACTATAAAAAAAGAAAACAAACATCTAACGACTCCCCGGGCGCGCGCCTCTCCTCTCGGAAGCGTAGGTTCACCGACGAACATCCTCACCCCACATCGGCGGCCGAGCAAGCTCTGGAAATTTCTAGATGGAAAGGGGCGTGGTCATACCGAGTTGATTCATCCGTCGCGGACGGCCTTCGAACCGTCTCGCCCTCTCCCCAGGCTTCGCTGCGCATCGCGCCGACGAAATGATGAGAACTTTCTAGAATCTCGCACGGAAGGTATTTAATCGAGCAGCCGAGACGAAAGATCAGGAGAAGACGGAAGTTAGTGCCAAAGTGCGTAGGGATTCCGCCGTGTAGTCGGCGAAGGTTTTGTCCGTAGAGACAAAGCAGGAGACGAAGATGATTTCTACCTGAGGGGTGAAGACTCGAGCTACAGGCAAGAGTGTGTGTTTACCACTATCGAGCAAAGACGCGTGGCAACAGCTGCGTGTGTGAAGCCGACGTGTTTCCGGCGAAGAAGTTGAAGCTTGGAGAGTGGCCAATTGAAGGCGCGAGGTTTCCTAGAAGGGAAACTTCGGCGCTTTTTCGAGGACAGCGGAATGACAGAGGTTTCCTGGAAGAGAAACTTCGGGGGCAGCGGAATGACAACAATGCTGGACTTTGAGTGAGTGATTCTCGGAAGAGTATCATCCAGACTTTTGTTCCAAGAACTTTGGACTGAATAGGTTTTCTATCTCTTTAGTCTTTAAGTGTCTTGGTTGTTCAATGCATGCGACTGCATTGCAGTGCGTATTGTTGTCCGTGTCCGTTGTTTCGAGTGTGGCTGATTGTACTGTGTAGTACGTTGTTCGATTGGTGACATATTGTATGCAACTATTGTGGAGCGTGCATTCTTGTGTATTGTTTTCGATCTGCCATTATGGAGAATATAATTTTCTTTGTTTATGAACACTCGGCTCTGACTTGTTCTTTGGGCCACAGCTGGCGTCCGCTGGCGCGCCAAAAAGGACTACTTCTAAATTGTCCACGCTTTCGTGGTGCGGTTCGGGGGGCCAACACTTCGGCCCTTGGAATTAGCCCGGCGATCGCCTCCCTAATTAACGGGACCTGTGACAACGACAAATAGCAACACAATCGAACGCTCTGGAAGAGTCGATTTAGATAGTAGGGGATTGGAAACGGGACCAAATATGAAGATGAATGTCTGTGGTGAAGGCTAACTGTTGTGTTTCACAAGGTTTGTTTAAATTTACGCTTATTGGGAAAGAAAATTAAGTGCGACATAGACGAAATGCGATGTTAGAACACAAAACATTCTTGAGAAATTTGGAAGGTTTGCAGGTTAAAGGAATAAGCTGGTGTGTACATTAATTGCCACTGAAAGATTTGTGTGTGGGCACGACACCGCTAATTTTCTACTCATTTACTATGAAAGACCAGGGAATGGAGTGACTGAAATCATATTGTAAGAAGCGGCAAGGTTGCAACTTGGCGCACTTTTAGTCTGCGGTTTTTATGCCAACAAGGCATGAAAAACTTTAGGCTTATCGATTTTGCTTCTGATTCATCTAGTTTTAATAACCACTAACCATTCGGAACGATTTAGCGATGTGAAAATGCGATTGTTAGTAGAAAGTTCATTCGTGACAGGCAAGGAAAATTAGGAGTTATTAAATTATGGTGCATCTCCTTCGTAGCCCGTCAAAGTTGATCAGTGCTACGCTATACGCTGCTGAGCTGCGACGTCGTGAACAGCACCTGCGTGGCCGCAAGTTAACAGTGGTGACGGGCCACTCTTCTATTGCACGCATGTTTGTCAAGCTAGATTTGAAGCGCGAATTCTCCAGCTGGATGATTCAGCTGCAAGACTACAACTACGACGTCAATGAACGAGCAGAGGCGCTGAACCAGCTTGCCGATGCACTGTCACCGGAGCAATGCGAGCAAAGCGAACCCCTAGCCAAGGAAGGCTCAATGTCTTTCTCACAGCGTGACGTCTCAAACTCCCAGCGGTACGATTCAGACTTGGCCGCAATAATAACGTCCCTCGACGATACGTAGAGTATAACTCAAAGTTTATTCTCTGCGGGAAACGTTGTACTGACATCACTGGAATAGCAACCAAAAAGCGCCTGCTTTTAATGATTCCATTAACCAAGCGATATGAAGTCCTGCATGTCATCCATGGAACTCTAGCTGGCAGACAGGTAGGCCAGCACGCTTACTCTGTGGAAGATTCAAAAACGCTTGTGTTGGCCCGAAAATGAAGAATAGCGTTTATTCGTAAGCCGCAAGCTGCGAAGTGTGTCAGAAGGAAAGAGTCGCTTGGAAGGCCAACCTGAACTATTTTAATACTTTTTTCATTTTCTCAAATTATTTTCAACACCATCGGGGTTGATCACGTTTGTCCATTACCACCTACAGCCGCAGGGAACCGCTACATCATGATAGCAGCCAACCACTTGTCAAAGTTTGCGGAAAATGCTGCAGTGCCCCTACCTCACAGTCGGCTTTGTAATAAAATTTGTACGGGACCATTTTGAATGAACACATAGCTAAGCTTACCAATCATTTCCGACAGTGCAACAACCTACCACAGTCGTGAACTCCAACTGTATCTTCGAAACGCTACGATCGAGCATCATTTAAAGTTTACTTGCGATCCTCAAGCGTAGAACTTAAGGAAAGGTATAACTAAACCCTAGTGGATCGATTTGCTCCTTACTGCCAAAACGAGATACCAAATGAAGCAGATTCGATCGTACGATCATCTGCACACATCCGCGTAGGCGATTAACGTGGCTTTCCAGGTTTATATATTGCAACTTCCCCTTATGAAGTTGCCTGTGGCCAGATTCCAAAGCCAACTGCCATCAAGGATTTTAGCACCCCCTGAAATGTAAGACGCATGCCTTCAATACAGACCACTTGCTGCGTTATACGTGCTAAAGGCACCTAGGAACGTGCAAGAGGTCCCAAAACGGCACTAAGAACACTGCTGCTACAGACCAGCGCGACAGCTTGGAGACGACATGTGAGTTCCGCGATGCACACAATCACACAAGTAGTGGGCTCTTCGCTCATTTGTGAAAGAAATTGTGGCGTAGGGGGCGCCCAACGGTGCTTTCAGAAAGCATTCGATGATACTTTGAAGTGGGCAGTGTTACGAGCACAGTCATTTGTTTCTACACGGCACAGTTAAGGCATGCACTGAGGAGCGAAGCCGGTTCAGAAGGCGATGCGCAGCAGGCTCATGAGTTATCGAAATTTACTCCTGAAGGAAAACCTCGGGCGTCCTACATTTTGTTAGTGCTCAAGCTTATTAAGACATTTTTTTCAAAACTCAGCAACTTCACTCCATTCCAGCTTCATCCACTCGTTTCACTGCCATTCTAATGGGATTCAAATGTAGTCACGTGTCAGCATGTCCAAATATAATAGATATGAGCACTAAAGCGTCCCTGAAATGGTTTCCTCAGATTCCGTTTTTCATTAGACCAATACTGTAGCACAACATTGGCACCAGAGTTCAATCAAAACGCCCATTACCGAAGCTACGAGTACTAAAAAAGGACCCTCCGCCTTTACTCCGTCTTTCCGCTTCAACTTCCCAAAGTCTTCCTTCGAACACTCGGTGCTAAGCTCCGGCTTTACAGTGCCTGCGTAACGATGTGGCATGAGACTGCTTACGCGTAAATCCCGCGACGATTCGATACCGGTAGTCTGTGCTGCGCGTTCCACAGCCAATCAGTGGAAACGATGACGTCATTTGGGCAGAGTGTGTCGCTTGGTTTATGGGCGGTTGAAAACACGTTTGCCCGAGTCGCAGTGATCTGGAGAGATTCGCAGCTTTGAAGTGTTGTAATAAAGATTAAACAATTTATGCAGAGTGCTCAAATTGGTCTCTAGATTACCCTTGGTACTCGGTGTACTGGCCCAACGTGTTTTAAAACATCGTCAAAACCATTTTAGGGCCCGTTTAAAGTTCGCTGCTGGTATGCCAAAAGCGACGAGGCGAAGCAAAGCAATGGTAATATTTATTAACCAATGGGGACGTCATACAACATATTCCCAGTGACATATGTTAGATTGTTCTTGTATCGCATCGATTCCTCATACAAAAAAATTCACAAGAATTGTAGGTGGCAATTCACTGTCAAGCTGGCGCCGCCTTTCACATCAGTGCCGCGGGTGTAGAAGCGGCTTACTTAGGTTCCACGACGGCGGCACCTTTATTCGCATTCACGATCTGGCTCTGTATCCAGTGGATGTAGAAAGACACATCCGTGTAATATGAGAACTTGTTCTTCTTGCAGGCCCCTTGACCCCAGCTGACTATGCCCACCTGCAAAAAGGCACAATAAAAAGGCGAAAATTATGTTATGTGACGCAGCTGATACTGCGGCACTCTCCCACAAGAAAGAGCACGCAATGTGTCAGTACATACGCTAATTAAACATGCTTCCCGCCACCCACAGCGACTGCTCACCGTGTGATGTGTCACATCGCAAAGTTGGAAGCACGGGTTTTATTCCCGGCTGGCTACCGCTTTTAAATGAGGTGGAAATGTAGCGAAGAGCCGTAAGCTGTTGTTTAGCGTTATTGTTGATCAAGCCATCTACCAATGAGGTCACCATCGTCAGCCAATACTTTACACTGATATTATCATCGTCTATTATAAACCCCAACAACAGTTCACCACCACTCTGTCTAGCTCTTACAATAGTCAGCCATTCTGACCACCACTTTCAAGCTTTTCTTCGATTGTACGAAACACGCCATCTTTATAGCTTTCGCTTAAAATGATTGAATATCCGACTGTGAGTGCATGATCTGTTCATTGTTGTCAAGTGGGGGCACACCTTGACGGACCAGACTGTAGATGCTTGTAGTGTACTTACTGGCTTCGGCGAGGGGCGCTGATGTGGAGCCACAAAGTGCTCCCGCAGCTTTCTGTAGGTCATGAAACTTAACTTTATTTAGAGAAAAATGAGCGCGTAGTCCAGTAAAGCACTTGATTTGCATACACATGTGGGTTTTATTGTGAAAAACATTTTTTCAAGAGTCATACTGACACCAGCATCCCGGAGAACCTAATCATCTCTGCTTATCATACTTGGTGACAATGGCTGGTGTTATGACTAATCAACGAATCTAGCACTTAGCAATTGTTGGGCTTTTACGGACAAAACTACGGTATGACCGACTGAGCAGTGATAGTGCAAAGCTCCGGGAAGTTTGACCACTTGAGCCTGTTTTTATGAGCACATAAACCTGATTGCACAATCTTAGCATATCACCTTCATAGAAACGCGGCTACGGCAGTTGAGATTTCAACATGTGCAAATCTTATCCCACAGAATTCATCCTGGCGATTTAGGACCTAAAGACTTTAAAAGAGCCGACAACTTGGCAAATTGGTAGGAAATGATATTACTGAAATGGCGCCACAGCCCTATCGGAAAAACTACCACGGTGGATACTGGAGACCATAGTGGGCGAAGTGGAAGTAATAGTGGGTGGATATGGTTGATATGGCGGGACGTAATTATGGTTTATATGGTGGGAAGTAAAGGAAATCATGATGGATATGCCGGGATATACTGGGTGGCATGGTGTACAGAAGATGGGCAAAGTGGAACTGATGGTGAGAAGTAGAGGCTAGATAGTAAGCAATCATGGGAGGCTTCGCCCGCAGTCGTGATAATGCTGGGTAGCACTAAGCAGTCAGTGGGTTGTGCTTATTATGGTGGGCCACTGTGATGTATGCAGATGATATAATACTGATATGGCATCATGTGCTCAGCCTGAGCATATGTCGCTCTTTGAAATGAGCGAGAAGCGGACATTAAACCTGGCCGACCCCACCGGTAGTAAACTGTACCTACTCCTTAGTCAACTTGTTTTTTTTTTCTTGCGGTTTTGCATTGTAACAAAAGCTTAGCGTCGGTGCCATTATCACTGTAGAAATGGTTACAGGCTGAAATCGCTTGTGTTTAGGAAATGAGCAAATTTTAGTTGCAGGTGCAGATCTCGTCTACGTCGAGTACGCAACGAATGAAACTGAAGTTGAACCTTCAGTTCGTATGTAAACTAGCTATTTGACTCGCAAGTTTCGCCTTGTTGATATGGCGAGACACTCTGTTTCTGGACACGGATGCTTCAGACGCAGCATGTCATGCTCAGTCGGAGCAGTTGAAATGGTCGAGTCGGGCCACGGTAACAGGAATGCTGCAATGAGAAATGACGAGTACCGTTTGATTCTGCCCAATATGCACAGTGAACGTTCTGTTTTAAACACGGGTTTCGTGCATGGTGATGTACGAGGGAGGCCTTTCGAGTGGAAGACTTCAGAGACATGTTAGACCACCTGCATGTGCTCCCTGAAGTGGTCGCCTTGGGTGCCTACTAGATGAACCACGTTTGGGCAGTAAACTTCAGAAGGTGACGAAGGGACCAAAAGACTTCTTGCAAGCAGTGTCGTAAAAGTGAAAGGTCGACGTTGTGCCCTAATTGATCCGGCGAGTAAGGATCTCTGCATCAAAGTCCACTGGCTTTTGTGCAACACAGCCGACGAAGACGTGAGGCTGGCGTTTGTTCCCTACGGCCGTGTCACAGACATCACTCGTGAGCGAAGGCGTGTGAATGGCGTCACGGATAAGGGGTCACCGACGAGAACTGTTACTCTGAAGCTTAAAAGTGGCATCACCATCGAGGATATTGCCCATCAATGGCGAGTTGCTGGTGAACAAGCCCTCGTGGTCGTCCCGGGTAGAGCTCCACTGTGCCTGTGATGCGGTAATACTGGCCATATTCGCGAGATTGTCGCGTACTGTGGTGTGGACAGTGGCGACGCTACGGTCACGAAGACGCAGTCTGCGCTCGAGCGAACGCAAGTGTTACCGCACCTGCTGGGATAACAGCGAGTGAAGACACTGCGGAGCTCATGATGAACGAGGTCGATGCCTAGGGCGTCACTGGCAGCACGCCGAGGCCTGCAAGCACAGAAGACTCGGAGGCACGCGCGGCTAGCGTCTCCCTTACTTCCGAAGCAGAAAAAGAACGTATGTTAATGGACATTGCGGAAACCTCAGCGCCAGTGACAGTGACGCCGACATCAGAATCAAGTAAGGTAATGGAGGACGTGACTGGAGAGAATTTGCAAGTGGATGAATTGTTGATGGAAGCTTCCAGCTGCACAACAAGCAAATGGACATGAAGGACGTCGTAGAGATCGGCGTTGCAGGAGACGCTGGTGACGAAGGGCCATCATCTAAAGCATTACCACCGCGTCGATCGGCGTTGCGCCCACGGCCAACTATACAGCCGAACAGGCGTGAAGCAGCGTCGTTGCCTTCGTCGCATCGAGAGCGCGCCTACGGACGGGGAACGAGACGTGCGGCTGGCAGGCTCAGTGGCACTGAGCGGTGAAGGTGAGCATCATGCTCCCATTCTCAGTCGACCGCATACCATGGGTATGGAAAGCTTTTTAGGGGCGAAGCTCCTTATAGCGGCACCCGTTCGTCCCGCGTAGTATGTAACCGGTCTTACGCTTTGACCTGCACACATTTTGACCTCCAAGGTGGTGCCAGTGAGAGAATCCTTCTGTGCGTTGTTGAACAACAAAATTAGTGCTCAATGTACATGCCAATCGTTGATAATGGGGTATGAGAGACAGGAGCATTCGGCTTTTAGTTAACGTGCACGCTGCAATACCCACTAGCAGCCATTGCATGTACATTGAGCACTATCTGAAGGGTAAGGGTTGCTGCGTTATACCCACTGGGTGTAACCACCTTAGTTTTAAAAAGGTTTAGCGAGCCTTGAGCCGCAGTGCCATGAATACAATGAACTAGTATATACCATGAATGAACTCGAGGTAGTTAAAGGTGGGAAGTAGGTACGAAGTGCAGGCCGTAAGAAAGTAAAAGCCGAATTATCCTGTCTCTCATTTCCCATGCAGCCATTGGCATGTACATTGAGCTCTATTTGCCAGGAAAAGGTTGCTACGTTATACTCGCTGGGCGTAACCTCCTTGGTTTTAGAAATGTTTAGCGACTGTTGGGCCGCAGTGCCATGCATACAGTGAACTAGTATATACCATGAACTCGAGGTGGTTAAAGGTGGGAAGTAGACCCGAAGCGCAAGCTGTTAGAAAGTGTGCGAGTGCCACCTCTCGTTTAGTCCTTGGAATGTCCGCTGGATGGCGGTGTTCCTATATGGGGAATATATGATGAAAAGATGCGAGATGGTGGTACTTGGAGTGTTGAATAGATGGACGAACGGACACACAGACAGATGCATGAATGGACGCATGAACGGACGCAGGGGCGGATGCATGGACGAACGCAGGAACGGACGCACGCACGGACGGGCGGATAGACGCATGGACGGTCGCACAGACGGAAGGAAGCAAGAACGAATGGACCAACGAATGCTTCGCCCCACTCTCCATCATTCACTCCGTGGATATGTTGCCAATTTTTTTTTCTTTTGCTTCACAACGGGTGGGTCTCGCTGGCAGAGAGAAATATAATGAACCTTATTGACTACAGGTTTTTCCGCTCAATTTAATTCAAGCATAAGCCAAATTAATCCAGCCACAACTCAAATTAATTCAGGTGCCATTCATTTTAATCCAATGCCGCTGAAATTAATCCAACCGCCAGCCGATTTAATGCAGACGCCAGCGAATTTAATCCTGATGACATCGTGTCTTCAAAACGACCCAGAATTTTCGGGAATGCGTGGAGTGAATAGCTTTGGAGTGAACTTAAGAGGGAAAATCATAAATTAGTCACTAGTGACACAATGTGACGCGCGAATTCTTCACGCCTATCACCCGCGTAAGCACTATTCACACCTTCCACATGCATATCAAAGGAAACGCCGTCCACACAGTAATAACTTGATACCTACTAACCAGGCCAATGATCTCATCATGAGTGACTCGGTGACGTCCTCACGCAGACCACCCACGCACGCACTGTCTTAACCTTCTGTCATGCATATCAAATGAAACGTCTTTGAAAGGGCAGGAGCTTGATACCTAAAACTCGGCCAAGCCACAGGATCACCAGTGACTCAGGGTACGTCGTCACCCATATCACCCGCGCACGTAATTTACTAGCCTGCCGATGTGCATACCAAACGAAACGTCTTTGAGAGAGCAATAACGTGTTGCCTAAGACTCGGCCAACTGACTTGATCACTAGTCACTTAGGTGACGTCATCACGCCTATCACCCACGCACGCAATGTCTAACCTGTCATCATGTATACTAAACGAAATGTCTTTGAGGGGGTAATAACTTGAACGCTGTCAATCGGCCTAGTGACGTGATCA